GTATTGGTACTTAAATTGTCCTACAGTGTCTTTTAATTTGTCCTATAGTTTTTGATAGTTTTATAAACACATATTCATGTGTGCACATGAGCATACAGATACCATTTTTGCTTAATGTTTGCTAAATACTTACCCTGGGTGTGATACTGCTTTTGAAACTTACCCTGTGTTTTAAATATCAGGTTAGGCTTTCATCTCGTTCTTTGAAAAGCTTACAGTTGGAATGACAGATATTGGTACAAAAACCATTGGCAACCCAACATAAGGGGAAATTTGTTGGGATGTTTCTTAGAATAATTTTTATCCTTGACCAAAAAAATTTAAAATAAAAAAGACTTACAAGGAGAAAGACTTTTGTTTTTGTCATATTATTTCTGTTTTGGACAGTAGCATGGGAAGTGATGCCTGAAGCTGAAACTCATAACCAAGAAACAGCAAGCATGAGGACCAAAAGCAATATGTGGTGGATGAAGTAGTAGTAGATCAGAAAGAGCCTGGTTTGCTTTTGAGTTTCACATACACTTACCATATGATCCAGCAGTCCTATACCTATAAATAAGTTCATCATAAGTTGTGTAAGAAGAGAGATTTAGAAGCCTGGCACTCTCTCTTTTGATTATTAACAAAAACCCAGGGTGTTTTGACTTTGAAATTTAAATATTTATGTGCCTCACTTTTGATAAAGCCAATATATGAGAATCTGAAATACACAAACAGTAAATTAGTGAAACTTTTTTTGATGCTTTTATAATATGACTTAATTTTCTTTTAGACTTCATGAAACCTCCCATATACTGTTTTACATGAATTTAAGTAGAGAGTTCAAATGATACGCCAAAGAGTTTGTAATTGAGCGGAGGGTAGTGATAAAGAAAATAGGATTCTAAAAAACTTAGTAACTTTAATTTCTTAAATGAGAGATGCCACATAAAGTAGTATTGGATATTATTCATCTTTCTTTCTTTTTTTGAGGCGGAGTTTCGCTCTTTTTGCCCAGGCTGGAGTGCAATGGCGCGATCTCAGCCCACTGCCACCTCCGCCTCCCAGGTCAAGCGGTTCTCCTGCCTCAGCCACGCAAGTAGCTGGGATTATAGGCACCCACCACCATGTCTGGCTAATATTTTTTTGTATTTTTAGTAGAGACAGGACATCACCATGTTGGCCAGGCTGGTTTTGAACTCCTGACCTCAGGTGATCTGGCCACCTCGGCCTCCCAAAGTACTGGGATTTTAGGCGTGAGCCACTGTGCCCGGCCTCATCTTTCATAATTATAGATTGAACAATGCTTATGTCCCATGCATAGATTAGAAAATTGACACAGCACCTTTAGTGTCAGTTTTTGTCATGGTTGTGGGAAGTAAAGTGATTGTTCTGTTCTACAAGTAGATGTTATGAACATTTTTCCCCAGCTGAGTGAGATTTTTGACTTTTTTTTTTTTTTTTTTTTTGACAGGGTCTTGCTCTGTCATCCATACTGGAGTGCAGTGACACAATCATGGCTCACTGCATCCTTGAACCTCCCAGGCTCAAGCAATCTTTCAACTTCAGCCTCCCCAAGTCACTGGGACCACAGGTGTGCACCACCATGCCCAGCTATTTTTTTTTATTTTATTCCGTAAGACGGGGTTTTGCTCTTGTCGCCCAGGCTGAAGTGCAATGGCGCGATCTCGGCTCACTGCAACCTCCATCTCCTGGGTCCAAGAAATTCTCCTGCCTCAGCCTCCCGAGTAGCCAGGATTACAGGCCGGCACAACCACGCCTGGCTAATTTTTTTGTTTTTAGTAGAGACGGAGTTTCGCCATGTTGGCCAGGCTGGTCTTGAATTCCTGACCTCGGGTTATCCACCCGCCTTGGCCTCCCAAAGTGCCAGGGTTATAGGCATGAGCCACCGTGCCTGGCCCTAATTTTTAAATTTTTTGTAGACATGGGGTCTCCCTATGTTGCCCAGGCTCATTTCAAACTTCTAGGCTCAAGTAATCCTTCTACCTTGGCCTCCCAAAGTGCTGGGATTACATGGATGAGCCACCACGCCCAGACAATTTTTGGCTTTCTGTAGGGGTTTTTTTTTTTAATTTAATTTTTAATATGTATTTTTTAAATTTAATTTTTAATTTTTTTTTTTTTTTTTAGAGACAGGGTCTTTCTGTGTTGCCCAGGCTGGAGTTCAGTAGCTATTTACTGGCATGATAATAGCACATTCCAGCCTTAAACTCCTGGGCTTGAGCAGTACTCCCATCTCAGCCTCCCAAGTAGCTGGGGACTGTAGGCACATACCATTGCACCTGGCTTCTACAGGTTTTTAGAATTCTAATTCTTCTAATACATACATGTAAGTAAACATGGATAATGAGGGCTATGTGTGATTAGTCCACCTAATGTTATACTAGTCTAAGTGCAATGGAAGAAATTAATGCAAAGTATTATAAAAATAACATCCATTTGTTGGAAGAAACAGAGTGAGCAAAAATGAAAAATGTGAAGAGAAATAGACAATGTAATACAGTTTCCAAATCTCATAAATGAGGCTATCGTAGTGATAATTTTTGAAAATTTGTGAGTTCATTGAATACTTATAAATTGACTGAATTGGACTAAGACACATTCTGCCTCTGTCCTCATATTAACTTATAATGGAAGGAAATATAGTTGGCAGTCTCACACATAGATATACTCCCAATAATTATGATGTTTTTTTCTCTTTCTAATATTATTTGAGGGATTTGGATTAAAGACCAGGATAATCAGGGGATAGTGGATATAGTTGGAAATAGGAGAAACAATAAGGAAATATGAATTCTTAATGTTGTTCATGTAGGAAGTTCAGTAGTTGCTGACCTCCTTTCATTGCTTTGATTTTTTTTCCTTTACAGAATATACATTATAAATGGAAATCTATTGTAAAGCAAAACAAACAAAAAATGAAAATAAACAATTTATTTAAACTATAATAAAGCAAACAGAAGCCAGGCACGGTGGCTGATGCCTGTAATCCCAGCACTTTGGGAGGCCAAATGGGTGGATCACCTGAGGTCAGGAGTTCGAGACCAGCCCGGCCAACATGGTGAAACCCCATCTTTACTAAAAATACAAAAAATTAGCTGGGTGTGGTGGCAGGCACCTGTAATTCTAGCTACTTCGGAGGCTGAGACAGGGGAATCGCGTGAACTTGGGAGGTGGAGGTTGCAGCGAGCCTGTATCTTGCCATTACACTCAGCCTTGGCAACAAGAGTGAAACTCCATCTCAAAAGTAAATAAATAAAGCAAACAGATTGTATTATTGGATTATGTGCCCACTTGTACAGTCAGCTGACAGCTTTTTGCCTGTTACTTTAGTAGGGAATTACAGGTATCCTCAGGAAGTTTAGAGTGTGGGCATCTTTGCTCTGTTGTGTAACTGGTGATGATAACCAAACATTTGTTCTAATTCTCTTAAGTTTTCCGTCTGTCTTTTTCCTTCCTTCTTTCCTCCCTCCCTCCCTCCCTCCCTTCCTTCTTTCTTTCCTTTTCTTGGAGTGTCACTCTGTCACTCATGTGGGAATACAGTAGCACGAGCTTGGCTCACTGCAACCTCCGCCTCCTGGGTTCAAGCTGTTCTCCTGCCTCAGCCTCCCGAGTAGCTGGGATCACAGGTGCCTGCCACCATGTCCAGCTAATTTTTATAATTTTAGTAGAGATAGGGTTTTGCCATGTTGGCCAGGTGGTCTCAAACTCCTGACCTCAGGTGATCTGCCTGCCTTGGCCTCCCAAAGTGCTGGGATTACAGGCATGAACCACCGCACCCAGCCTTTTCTTCCCTTAAGTTTTAAGGAAAACATTTATGAAAGTGAAATATAAATATGTGTTTAGTATGTGATTAGTGGTAACAGTATTTTTTTTTTTTTTTGGTTAAGAATACTCACATGGATAATCAAATATAGCATCAAAATTATCTCATTGCAAACATTTGTGCTGGGCTCAGTCTTGAATTTGGATACTGCAGAATTCTGGTAGAGGTGAATGTTATGTTTAAGATTTTGGCCGGGCGCGGTGGCTCAAGCCTGTAATCCCAGCACTTTGGGAGGCCGAGACGGGCGGATCACGAGGTCAGGAGATCGAGACCATCCTGGCTAACACGGTGAAACCCCGTCTCTACTAAAAATACAAAAAACTAGCCGGGCGAGGTGGCGGGCGCCTGTAGTCCCAGCTACTCCGGAGGCTGAGGCAGGAGAATGGCGTAAACCCGGGAGGCGGAGCTTGCAGTGAGCCGAGATCTGGTCACTGCACTCCAGTCCGGGCTACAGAGCAAGACTCCGTCTCAAAAAAAAAAAACAAAAAAAAAAAAAAAAAAAAAAAAAAAAAAGATTTTTTGTTTTTGTTTTTGTTTTTTTGCTTTGTTTTCACTTTGGGGTTCTGCAAAGGATCTCTTTTTGGCGCTCTGTCATTGCATACTCAGTATACAGCAAAAACCACCAAAAGTTTAGCTTTTCAGAACTTTAGGACTACTTAATACCAATAGAGTTTTGGAAATTCTTTCATAGAGGTTGTCTGTATTGATTGGTAAGTGTAGAATACATAATTCTTGCCAGTACTTGGTAAATGGTGGAGATAGGGGAATGGGGCAGTAAATAGTCTAATTTCTTATAAGTCTTGGCAAAATTAAAAGGAAGAGCTAAAATTAAATCGTCCTCAGTTTCTTTAACTTGGTTTCAGCACTGCTATGTATTTCTGTTAGCCAGTGATGAAAAAAACAATTGTCTTTCTTTTTGGTCATATGTACATTACTAGAAGAAAGCATTTTATATTTAAGGCTTGTGTGTTTCCTTAGCTTCTATGGTTTGCAGCCTCCTGAGCTTATGATACCATGTGAATAACTAATCTAGATGTTAAACTGTTGGAGGATAGAAAACCAAAACCCATTTCAGGAAGCTATGCATTTTGCTCACCTTTGGATAGGATTCATTCTACTTAGTAGAGACTTAAAATTTAATTTTTAACTACGTGTTTTCTTGATTTTTACCTAGGTTACAAGATGTTCAACTAAGCCTGAGACCTAGTGACTACATTTCCTACGGGAACAAATCAATGGTTTTTCATCTCCCGGAGATACATTAGAAACAAATATGGTGCTAAAAGAACTCCTTACCTTTCTCTGACTACAATTTATTTGGACATACTTTTGTATTGAAGAGAGGTATACACACTGAAGCTACTTGCTGTACGGAGACTCTGTCCTGTAGGATCATGGACCATCCTAGTAGGGAAAAGGATGAAAGACAACGGACAACTAAACCCATGGCACAAAGGAGTGCACACTGCTCTCGACCATCTGGCTCCTCGTCATCCTCTGGGGTTCTTATGGTGGGACCCAACTTCAGGGTTGGCAAGAAGATAGGGTGTGGGAACTTCGGAGAGCTCAGATTAGGTAAGAATTTGGTTATGTCAGTGACTTCTACTAACAGCAATACCTATAATAAGCCTTGGTGTGTTTCAAGACAAGCCATTTATAGTTTTGCAAGAAATGTTTCTTAAGGAGAACCTATTGTTATAGAAAATAATTTATGAAGGGGCACTATGGTCATTATCAATTATTTGTTTTCCAGGGCTCATCTGCCTTTATGTGTGTGCAATGGGCTTTTAAATTTTCTACCAGTTCTGAGATTTTCTGATGAACACAGAGTTGCATACAGGTATCAGTAAAGTGCAGACTCTGATTTAGGAGGTCTGAGGTGGAGCCCCAGATTCTGCATTTTTTTGCAAACTCCAGGTGATGCAGATGCTGTTGGTCCTTTAAGAAGGGCATAAGGCTTGGTTTAATTCAGACTCTGCCTCCCGGGTTCACGCCATTCTCCTGCCTCAGCCTCCCAGGTAGCTGGGACTACAGGCGTCCGCCACCACATCCGGCTAATTTTTTTTTGTATTTTATTAGAGATGGGGTTAGCCAGGATGGTCTTGATCTCCTGACCTCGTGATCTGCCCACCTCGGCCTCCTAGAGTGCTGGGATTACAGGAGTGAGCCACCGCGCCCAGCCATTTATATACTTTTTAATGGCTCTCCCTTGATGAGTGGGATAGAGAAAACAGAAGGCCATATAAATATATGAAGTTAGGCCAGGTGCAGTGGCTCAAGCCTGTAATCCCAGCACTTTGGGAGGCCGAGACAGGGCAGATCACGAGGTCAGGAGATCGAGACCATCCTGGCTAACCCGGTGAAACCCCGTCTCTACTAAAAAATACAAAAAACTAGCCGGGCGAGGTGGCGGGCGCCTGTAGTCCCAGCTACTCGGGAGGCTGAGGCAGGAGAATGGCGTAAACCCGGGAGGCGGAGCTTGCAGTGAGCTGAGATCCGGCCACTGCACTCCAGCCTGGGTGTCAGAGCGAGACTGTCTCAAAAAAAAAAAAAAATATATATATATATGTATATATGTATATGAAGTTGGAGATTAGCTTGGAGAATGTGGAAAGGTCATCTTTGAGGCTAAAGTATTTTCTTTTTCTTCATAGCTCTTGAGACTGTGGATTAATATGAAGACTCATTTTAAGAAACTTTGGCTCTTGTGGGGAATGGTGGGAGGGTGGGAACATAATGTAATTATGTTTTTACCTCTGCTACTTCCTTTTTTTTTTTTTGAGATGGAGTGTCGCTCTGTCACCCAGGCTGGAGTGCAGTGGTGCAATCTCAGCTCACTGCAACCTCCACCTCCCAGGTTGAAGTGATTCTTTTGCCTCAACCTCCAGAGTAGCTGGGACTACAGGCATGTGCCACCATGCCCAGCTTATTATTATTATTATTATTTGTAGTTTTATGGAGACGGTCTCTTGCCATGTTGGCCAGGCTGGTCTCGAACTCCTGGCCTCAAGTGATCCACCTGCCTCGGCCTCCCAAAGTACTGGGATTACAGGCATGAGCCACTGCACCTGACCACCTCTGCTATTTGTGATGGTCCTGCATGGAGAACATGGACAAAATCTTACCTCTGATCCCTCATAGAGAACTTTGGAGAAACATCACCATACTAGTCAGAGACCATTTGAATTTAAGAATGATGAGAATGGATTTATTTTTACTGTTAGAAGGCTGGTAACCTGGAGATTCAGGATTTAATTAGGGTAATGAAAGGATCTTTATATTCAGAATTGTGTTCAGGTTAGCAAAGCCAGCAGATGCTACTTATGATAGGAGTAAGATGTGTAATTTCATACTGTTTTACTAGAACTTCTGACAAGTTCTAGTCAGAAGAACTTGTCTTTCTTTTCAGGTGCTTTTACTCTTCTCTGCTTGTCAAGTTTTCATTAGCCCTGGGACCATACTGTTATGGCCTTGTATCTAGAAAAGATACTTTCAGAATTGTTTGGCCTTTTCCTAACAATAGAGCGGGCTGCATACTGCATTCCATCATTTTATTGCTCTAATATTACCGAGGAGAAGATTGTAACCTACAAAATTCCAAAGTCAAGGCAGGTGCAGTCAGGCCTCCATCATGGCTACCACCTACAAGGCCCTGCTTCTCTAAACTAATTTCCTTTCTTAGACACACAGTCTCTCAAACAGCCAAGTGCATTTCTTCTTATTGTCTCTTTTTTTTTTTTTTTTGAGACAGGGTCTTGCTCTGTTGCCCATACTGGAGTGCAGTGGCATGATCATAGCTCACGCATTCACTTAAATGGTCGGGCGCGGTGGCTCACACCTGTAATCCCAGAACTTTGGGAGGCCGAGGTGGGCGGATCATGAGGTCAGGAGATCGAGACCATCCTCGCTAACACGGTGAAACCCCATCTCTACTTAAAAAAAAAAATGCAAAAAATTAGCTGGGCATTGTGGCGGGCACCTGTAGTCCCAGCTACTCGGGAGGCTGAGGCAGGAGAATGGTGTGAACCCGGGAGGCAGAGCTTGCAGTGAGCAGAGACCGTGGGCCACTGCACTCCAGCCTGGGCGACAGAGTAAGACTCTGTCTCAAAAAAAAAAACAAAACAAAACAAAACAAAAAAACACACACACACTTAAAAAATTTTTTTTTAATTCTACTTTGGAGGTGTCTGTGGCGATAACCACTAATGATGGTTTAATTTTCTAGAGCTCAAAAATGTGTATTAGTACATATTTTAGAAATGCAATCAAATTGTGCTCTAAGACTCCTTTTATGACTGGGCCTGGTGGCTCATGCCTGTAATCCCAGCACTTTCGGAGGTGGAGGTGGGCGGATCACCTGAAGTCAGGAGTTCGATACCAGCCTGGCCAACATGGTGAAACCCCGTCTCTACTAAAAATAGAAAAATTAGCTGGGGATGGTAGTGGGTGCCTGTAATCCCAGCTACTGGGGAGGCTGAGGCAGGAGGCGGAGGTTGCAGTGAACTGAGATTGCACCACTGCACTCCAGCCTGGGAGACAGAGTGAGACTCCATCTTAAAAAAAAAATAAATAAAAGCCTTTTTTTATTGCTCAATAGAGATGAACATCTTGTTTCAACTTAAATATATCTTATCAATTTTAAATATTTCTATATTATTCAGTTTAGCCATTATCAATATACACACAAATTATTTTGTATTTTTAATATTATGATTAATACAGTACTCCTGCAGTCCCCAACTTTTTTGGCACCAGAGACCCATTTCATGGAAGACAGTTTTTCCATGTACCAGGGGTGGGGGATGGTTTCAGAATGAAACTGTTCCACCTCAGATCATCAAGTATTAGATGTAGTCTAGATCCCTCACATGTGCAGTAATAGGGTTTGCACGCCTATGAGAATCCAGTGCTGCCACTGATCTTTGAGGTGACACTCAGGCGGTAATGCTTGCTTACCCAGTGCTCACCTCCTGCCATGCAGTCTGGTTCCTAACAGGCCACGGGCTGGCACTGGTCTACTCGATATCCTGGTAGTTTGAAGTTGGTTTAATTTCTTAGACTACATCCTGGAAGCATACTTTTTGTGTCAAAGGATATGTACGTTTGCAATTTTGTTACACATTGTCAGTTTATCCTCCAAAAAGATGTTTCAGTTTGTGTGTGTGTGTGTCCTTCGGCTCATTTTCTCCAGTACTTCAGAAATCTTAAACAATATCAAGAATCTTTTCATCTCTGCCAGTCTGATAAGGGAAAATGGTATCACTTAAATGTGTATGTGTTCATAGGTGAAGTTAAACATATTTACATATATTTGCTTATTTTTTTAAAGAGTTATTTCTATGTGGCCTTTGCCCATTTTCAATGGAGAGATTATTTCTGTGGAGTCTTTTGTGTACTGCCTCAATGAAAGGAGAATTATGAAGATTTAAGAGAAGGGAAAATTGATGGATAGTGATTATGTAGGTAGCAGGACATGATGGGATGAAAACAGATTTTACAGATTGATACTAACTGAAAAACATGGCGAATCTTGTGAGAACTTTCTCATTTTTAAAGGTTTGAGCCTTCTGCTGAATCAGGCCTGGAAAGAATCATGTAAACATCAAAATAAGATTATATTCCTCCGGAGTTAAGAAAATATACATCCTCAATGTACAAATAATTGCTAGTGTTTTTCTTCTTAGTTGCAAGAATAAATAGATAGGTGATATTTACTTATTTATTTATGAGACAGAGTCTCGCTCTGTCACCAGGCTGGAGTGCAGTGGTGCGATCTTGGCTCACTGCAGCCTCTGCCTCCCGGGTTCAAGCAATTCTTCTGCCTCAGCCTCCCAAGTAACTGGGATTACAGGCGCCCGCCACCATGCCCAGTTAATTATTATTTGTATTTTTTTAATGGAGACGGGGTTTCTCCATATTGGCCAGGATGGTCTTGATCTCCTAACCTAGTGATCCGCCCGCCTCAGTCTCCCAGTATGCTGGGATTACAGACATGGGCCACTGCACCCGGCCAGTGATATTTCTTTCATATCCACATAGGGGTGCACGTATGTTTATGGGAGACCTGTTAGACTAGAGAGGCAGGCATATAATTTTAATAATATTCATATTATCCTTTTGAAGTAGGATAGGGTGAGAGGATGTTATTACTTGCATACAGGAAAATGAAGGCACAACAAATTGACCTTTTTGATCTTTTCCATCTTTGGTGTCTGATGAAATATGCAAAAATGCATTATCACAGGATACTTCTGACAAAGGTAAATAAATTGGCTAAGGGTAGCAGCTTGTTTTGTGACACTCCTGCATGGCTTCTAAAGTAAGACACTTATTTCTGTGATTGACATAGGGTTTATATGACAGGCTGTTCTGTTGTTCTTTCCTGTTCTGAATTACTGAGCCGTCACTTGTGAACTTAAATTGGAACTTTTTTTTTTTTTGAGACAGAGTCTCACTCTGTCGCCCAGGCTGGAGTGCAGTGGCTCGAGCTCTGCTCACTGCAGGCTCCGCCTCCCGGGTTCACGCCATTCTCCTGCCTCAGCCTCCCGAGTAGCTGGGACTACAGGTGCCTGCCA